GACACTCTTGGGAAGGCACACTGAAGAGTGACAACCAGAAACGATGTGACTGTTCACTCTGTAGGTGTTCTTCAGCTTCTGTGAGAAGAACGTGGATTACGAGACATTTAAAGCGTTCAACGACGCCTGCCTCGTCTATGACGGCCGACTTGTGATTGACGCCAGCTTCCACACCAACGACATAGCCATCAGGGCTGCCGGCCCCCTCACCAAATTCTCCAATAGATACTACTCCAACGAGTGGGCTCACAGCAGCTTCAATTCCAAAGAGATTGGCTTCCAGCTGGCCGCAGCCATGCTCAGTCTCTTTGACCCGACCCTCGAGCCTGTGACCGAGCCGCCGGCTGACCTTGACCGACTCATCCCCATGTACAAGGGAGCCAAGGTCAAAGGTGCGTAATGGTCCACCTGCACATCCATCTGGTGAAGCCACTGGTTGGATCTGGATCCACCAGCCACCATGTTTCTCGTAGGCATGGCGAGGAGGCCCCCCTGTCAGTGGGTTTGCACAGAGACAGAAGAGGGGTCCCTCTTCTTACTGTGGTCCTTTGCACTTTGAACATTTATGACGGGGACCATATATGAGATCATCGTGTTAACTCAGGATTGCTGTGTGTCTGGGAGGCGTGAGTTACCTTTGAAAATAGTGTCTTTGAACGTTGTGGACCTTCTGCCAGAAAGACGCACATATCTACAAAATTGTGTGTTGACTTCCAGAAGGTTGACAGACCAACCGCCAAAGCCATCTGTGGACCCCCTAGGGACCCTGGTTCAGGAAACACAGCATCAGGCTAAGGGGACAGACGCCCTGCAGTTTCAGGCCTCGTGGTAGTCTCCCAGCTCAGTGGCCTCCGGGGCGTCCTGCTCCGCCTCTCACGCTGGGCGAGACCTTGGGCAAGGTGGTGGCTATGGGGAGGAACACAGGGATGGGTGTCTGAGGCTGATTGGAGCGAGGCCAGGCCTGTCCTTCTGGGGCGAGCTGGAGATGCTAAGAATTTCAAAATAATAGTTTTCTAAAGCATTGAACGAGAACTTTGTTGATTTCCCGATTTTCCTGATTTACCTTGTTAGTATTTTGGTCACATGTGGAGGCGGGTGGAGCACAGCAGAGCCACTGCAACTCTGCAGGCCACAGACTGGCTCCGGCAGGCGGAGGTCGGAGGGCTTGGAGTTACGGGCAACCAGGACACACAGGATCAGCGGGCTCGTCTTCCCGGCGCACTGCTGGCCGTGTCACGGGGTGTAATGGCACATTCGCATTGTTTTATTAGACAAAATCAGTCCCAGAGAGTCCCTTGCTCGTGGCAGTTCTTCAGTGGGAAGGAGTGGGTGGTGTACCCGTGGTAGGCGTCTCTGATGGTCCTGGGGCAGAAATGTCAGCGCCGTTGCCCGTTTGCTGCCCGGCTGAGTTAAAATGTGACAACCTCGCCGTTTCCACTAGGAGGCGTTCTTCCCGGGTCTTACCACTACCTGCACATCGCCAAGCCTGCCATCCCAACGCCCTTGGAGGTGCAAATGGCGCAGTCCGATTTTGTGAGTATGGTTCCTGAATTTCATTTTACTTCCAAGTATAACACTTTGTTGGCGAGGGGGTGAAGTTCTTTTTCAATTCAGAGCTGTTAGTGTAATGTATGGGTTCACGTATCAGAAAGCCACACAGTACCCAGCCCCCCAAACGGCCCCCGATGAGTTCTGCCCCTTGGATTCATGTCCTTCTGTGGTCCCCTCCCATGCTGACTAGGACTGACCTGGGACTGCCAACAGGATATTGTGGAAATGACACAAGGCTAGGTCATGAGAAATATTATAGCTTCCAATCCCTTGTCGTGAGGTCACCAGGCAGCCTTTGGAGAGGTCCACGTAGTGAGGAACGGAAGATTCCTGCACCAGCCATTTGCAGTTTGCCAGGCAGGCGAGGGAGTCCCCTTGTAAGTACATCCTCCAGCCCCAGGCAGGCTTTTCAGGTGATGCAGCCCCAGCTGACATCTTGACTCCAAATTTACATGAGATCGTAAGCCAGAATCCCCCAGCTAAGCCATTCCCAACTTCTGACTCCCAAACTGAGGCGATGAAAGTTTTTTGTCATTTTAAGCCACTGAGTGTTTTTTAAATGGAATTTTATTTTTAGAGCAGTCTCAGGTTCACAGCCAAACTGAGAGGAAGGTACGGAGATTCCCATACACCCCCTGCCCCCACTCATGCACAGCTCCCCCGTAACCAGCAGCCCCCCCAGATGGCACATCTCGTTTCACTTAATACACCTGCACTGACGCATCATTATCGCCCAAAGTCCACAGTCCACATGAGGGTCACTCTTGGTGTTGGACATTCTGTGGGTTTGGACAAATGTGTAATGACATGTGTCCACCATGACAGCACCACACAGAGCAGTTTCGCTGCCCTAACATGCCCTGTGCGCCACCTGGTCATCCTTTCCTCCCTCCCCCACAGCGCCTGGCAGCCGCCGACCTTTTCACTGTCCCCATGGTTTTGCTTTTCCAGAATGTCGTGTTGTTGGAATCTGTGTAGTGGCCTTCTCAGATCGGCTTCTTCCACTTCATAATTTGCATTTAAGTTCCTTCCATGTCTTTTCGTGGCTTAATAGCCCATTTCTTTTTAGCACTGTATAATATCCCACTGCCTGGATGGACCACAGTTTATTTATCCATTTCTCCTACTGAAGGGCATTAAGCTGTTAAGTTTTGAGGTAACCTGAGATGCGGCAACAGATGACACTGATAACCGCCTCCGTGGCAACAGCAAGTGAATTTCTCCGGGTCTGGGATGTCTGTCCCGACCCCCCTGTCCCCCTGCCCTCCCTGCGCTACCCGGGAAGGGCCATGGAGGTAAAGCAGAAGCTGTGTGTGCTTGGGGGCTGGGGGGATGTCCCCTGGGTTCAGGGTGATTGGAAAGTTCACGGCGTGGTTCGTCAGCTGGCCAGCTCCTCAGCGAGGCTGTCTGACTGAGGGACCAGACTGGTGTTTGCTGTCAGCTGGGGGTTTCCCTTCTGGTCTGTCGTGTTCACTTTCTTGTCAGTAGGGCAGACGCTGGAAGGCACCTCTTCCCTTGCCATTTTCTTACCCTGAGTATTTTAGAGGGTTAACAGTTTAACTTAAAATAAGCACAGTCCCCAGATTCCTTTGAGAGCGAGGTCTGCCATGTGGCAGTTAGTAGAAGCTGTTGGAACACTCCTTAAGGGGGAGGAGCAGACTTGAAATGCCCCAGGCTCTTGGGCCCCTCACCCTCTCCTTCTGGAAGTCAGAGTGCCAGCTTTCCCTTTGACTTCTCCTGGGCTTTGGACAGTTGGCAACCTCTCTGCATTCCTGGCATCATCAGAGGTCGCCTGCAAAGTAGCACTGCCTTCAAGGAAGAAACTAGTGACCCGTCAGTGGCGGCTGCTGTTAACGACGGCTCCAGACGAATAAGGAAACCTGGTTCTGCCAAGGGAAGGACGGATGCTGTGTGTTTGAAACTTACTTCCCTTGGGCCTTACGCGGACTCTTAGGTGTGCCTACACGCGTGGTCCGACGCACAGTGTTCTTACAGCTAAAGAAAGGACAGCCGTGAATGGTGCTGCAGTTTCTACTGCTGTGTAACAAAACTCAGCGACCGTCTGACTCTGCTCGTGGGTTCTGTGGGTTAGGAGTTTGGACGAGACACCGTGGGAATGGCTTGTTTCTGCTGCACAGCGTCTGGAGGTCGGCCGGGAAGGCTCGAGACTGGGGATGACCTGCTGGTCGGCTCGTCACCCGCCTGGGCTGGGAGGACTCAGCTCAGGGAGTGATGACCAGGGCGTCATGCCGGGGCTTCCTGCCGGCATGGCGGCCTCAGAGCGCTGAGACTCATCACGCGCCAGCTCAAGACTCCGCGCGCCAGCGCCCCACTAGCGGGCTGGAAGCCCCCTGCCTCTGATGACCCAGCCTTGCAGGTCACAGAGCGTCACTTCCCGCACACCCTCTGTCGGGGCCCACCAAGCCCGCCCAGACTCAGAGGCGAGGACGCAGACCCCTGCCAGCGGGACGACGTCCAGGGGCCGTGTGATGGGGGTCTTGCGCCCGTCTTCGGAAAGCACAGTCTGCCACCCGTGCGGGGGCATTGGATCAACAGCATGGAGCCCCGAGGACGTGTTCAGAGGCTGAACGCTTGGCTCACTGCACATGAATGCCCGGAACCCAACAGGTTCAAGAGCTAGGCAGTGTTGGATTTGCTTTTAGACGGAGCCGGGCTCTTCGAGGACAACGTGTGATTTCCGACAGGCAGTGCTATTTACCTAAGAACCTCTGGTTCTCTGTCCGATAAAGTCAGAGGAGGAGCCGAAGGGGTTTTCAGATAATGAGAGTTTAATAAGAGTGCAACTTAAATAGCTTCCTTGGCTGGGCTGTGACAGCGTTTGCGCGGGAGCCCTGGCGGCAATTAACCAGTTTGCCAGGCGGGCCTCCTTTTTAATTAGGACGGAAGCTCCAAACAGATTTCTTCCCATTTTATTCACCAAGAAAAAAATATATGCAGGATGGTTCCATGGCAGTCTTCGGGGTTGGAGTTAATTTGATTAAGTAAAATTGTTGCCAAAATGGTCGGGCGGTCGCCTGAATACCGTCAGCTAGCTGAGGATGGAGCCCACGGGGCAGCGTTTCGCTAGAGAAAGCGAACTCCATTCCGGCAACAGAGGTACTTAGCACAGGTGCGTCTCATCAGACTCCGTAGCCCTCGCTCACTGGGATTTTTTAAAACAATTTTGGGTGGGGGGGAATAATTAGGCTTATCTGCTTATTTTTAGAGGAGGCACTGGGGATTGAACCCAGGGCCTCATGCAGGCTAAGCGCGCACTCTGCCGCTTGAGCCACACCCTCCCCACCTCGCTGGGATATTTAAGGGAGAAGATGCTTTGGTAATTCGTGAGGTAACCCGACAAAAGGAGGAGCGGGGACCCCTGCATAATAAACTAACCCACAGATTCCAGTCCACATGCTTTGTTGGCTTATGCTCCATGGAATAAAGAAATTTGTCACAACAAACTCTGCCTTGGATACCATTAAATTTAAAATTGTGTGTCCTCATGGGAGCTGGGAACCTGGTTTCCTGCACACGGAGCCTGGCTACTCCTGGAGCTTCCATTTGGCATGAGTTCTGGAACCATGTTCCAATCTTTGTCAAAATCATAAAGGAACTGAAAAGGATAATTATATTCAGGAAATAAGGAAGGAGAAAAAAAACCACACACACCAGAACCAGTCACTCCGTCAGAATTTTAAAGTCAAGACCCAAATTTCCTAACAGTTTACTCGCATGCTTGAAATGAAGGAGGAATCTGGGCACATCCACAGAACGGGGACGCGTGTGAACCATCATCGTCCCCCGAGCCCCTCACCCGGGGAGGCAGGGCTGGAAGCCGCCCTGGGTCCTTGTGCAGTGGAGCGACTTTCTGTGAGGGTAAGTGGAAAGAGTCCTGGACTTCACTGAATCTTCCCCATCTGCCGGCGACGGTGACCAGGGATGACCCAAGAAACTTAGATAAGCCTGCCCGGCCCCGAGGGGTAACTTGGCTCTGAGAAACCCACCTAGAGGCGACTGGTCCTTCATGTCAGGGCAAAATTTCACAAAGCCACGTTCCCAGGATGGCCCCCTGGTTATGCTCACGTGGAGCCAGTTCCCGCTAATGTTGTCACAGCCATCCGCAGACTCCGGGGAGCTGTCGTCCCACAGTGTGGCTGCTCTCTGTGCCCTTCAGGTGCTAAAACAGGGGCAGGCAGCCCGAAGACTGAAACTCAATCTTTAGAAGCAGGAACATCTCCACCCCGCCACCCCCCCCCCCGAAATAAACAGATCATCAGAAATGAGGCCGGTGACGCAGCCCCCGCAGAACAGGCCAGCCTCGGAGGGTAAGTGGGCTGAGGCTGTCAGCCAGCAGGCTGCAGGCCCCTCGGAGACTCGCCTAGACACCAGCCACGGTGTCCCAGGGCCCTTGTGTTGAGGGGCTCAGCATCCTCCAAACCAGCCCTGAAAACAAGTGCCTGTGAGCAGAGGGCTGGATGGTCACGGAAACTCTTGGCAGAGTCAACAGTGTTGTCGGCCACGTGGGTCCATCTCAGGAGGTGCCCCTTTGATGCCTGAGTCCCCTTCCTTAGTCACTCAGCATAAAGAAATTTCAAAGAGGAGGAGGGGGCCAAGAGCTTGTGGGACCTGCTCTCCACTGAGCCCTGGGGGCACCAGGCCCTAAAGCCAGGCCAGAGCCGTGGCCAGTGCCGCCTCTCCCGAGCCCCCCACTGCCCTTCCAGTGAGGCCCCCTCCCCAGACACTCAACTCCTCCGTCAGGGCGCCCCTCACCACGACGGGGTCGGGGGCTCAGCCTAGGGCCGCTGGGGCCAAACGCAGACCGTGGACGCACCGTCACTCTCCCAGCTCTGTGTGTCTTTAATTCAGAAACGGCACTTGCTGTGAGGAGCCACAAGCAAAGGTGCCCCTGGGGACCGTTCTGGGACGTCACGTGCCCCGCCCTGGGGAGGAATGTTCATTGCTCAGTCCAGGAAGCCAAGACATGAGGAGACACATCAGAATGGACGAGAGAATTACCTGTACCAAGAGCGGAGGGAGAGGGGATGGTCTGGGGGGCGAGGAGACGGGGTCTGTGGCCAGAGGCACGTGCTTCTCCACACAAGCCCCACCCTCCACACTAGACGCCCCCCTTTCCTTCCACCCTCCCTCTCTCCCTCCCTCCTTCCTTCCTCTTTGTTTCATTTCTCTATTTGCTCGTCAGAAGTCTGGTTCCTTGCCACAGCATAGCCACTGCATTTAAAAATAACTTTTTAAAATCATCTTAGAAGTGATAGTCATTCTTTTTAAAAAAAGAAATTACAGAGAGTCAGATGAACAGAAAGAGAAACAATAAAAATGACCCAGTCTCCCAACCCCAGAAAATGACCATTAACATTTCGTTAAAATGCTGATAGAGAAGCACGTAAACGATACCACGTAGTTTTATAAAGACAGAGTGACAACTGTGCAAATGATAAACCATCGTACACCTGGGTACTGTACTCTGTGGTGTCAGATGCGCTGTGAGCATGTTTCCCTGTTGTGAGAGACAGTTTATCAGTCATCTCTGTTGGGTTCACTGCATCCCACTGGGTGGAGGTACCACTGTTTTTTTTTAAGTGGCAGTTTTTATTTATTTATTTATTTTGAGGAGGGGTAATTAGGCTTGTTTATGTATTTTTTTTTGATGGCGGTACTGGGGGTCAAACCTAGGACCTCATGCATACTAAGCATGTGCCCTTCCACTGAGCTACACCCTCCCCCCGTGTACCACTGTTTTGTTAGGTAACAGCTTACCACGTGCTTTTCTTAAACACTTCGCTGAGAAGGTAGGTTTCCTCTCTGGACCCACCCATCTCTATGATGATGGACCTGGTGCACCTCCCCCGAGGCGCCATCCCCCACCCCTTCCTAAGCCATGCTTGTCCTGTCCCCCCATCTCGGGCACATCCTTGGGGCTGTCCCAGGACTTCCCTGACATCTACCTGCACATGCCACCTTGTGCCTTTGCCGTCGGCTGATTCCTCCTCGAGGCTTTGCCACGTGACACCCAAACACCCACCAGGTGCTTCAGTTTACTCAAAGCTCCGGTTAAGCCGTGTGTCCTTGTTGAGACAAAGTCCCCAGGGAATGTCCAGGGCTGAGTAAATGTTGGGGTTCAGTGCAGTCCAACTTGCCCGGGATTTCTAAATGCCACGTTCAAGTTCAGAGCGAAAGCTTAAATCTGCCTGCACTCAGGGGAGATGCTCTGAGCGCTGCGGGCACTGAGTTGAGAGTCAGGTCCAGCCGCCACCAGCCAAACCCACATTTGTCCCCAGAGGTTCTGTTTGCTCCTGGAGCCGGTGGGAAGCGTGTCTCCGCTCGGTCGGTCGCCCGCCATGGGGCTGAAATGGGAAAAGCAGTGGTAACAGGGAAGGCAGCGTACTTCCTTGTTGTCTGGGTCCACGTGACGGGTTAGCCAGCTCCCAGGAGACATAAAACCATGAATCTGCACCTTGAACCATCTACAAACTAATGAGTAACTCACAGAACCCGTGTGTACGCCTATAAACCCGCGCCTTCCTCCCCGGAACAGAGAAACCGCCTCCAACCCAGCTGTCAGGGACTCAGCTTTCACTTGTTTCCTTTGTTAAGTAACATTTTTAAAAACTGGAATTCTTTTTGATCACCTTTACTAGGAGGTTTTTCTCAAAATGGTGCTGTGAAAAAAATTAGGGAAGTTACCAGCCTCAGGTCGCCTCGCCGCGTACTTGCTGCGTGAGGTGCTGGAGAAGGGGAATCGGTCGCAACCTAGCAACTGATTCAGAAACGTGGAGCGAGGCGACCACGGCGTAAACTATCCCCAGGAACGTTTAGTCTCTAAGTCCGAACACATGGCTTCTGACACGCACTTGTCTTCAGCTGAGTTTAGTCAGTATCTATTGCTGTGGTCTGCGACAGGCGCTAAGACCTACGCTGTCGGTTACATTTGAAAAATAAATTGCTATGATGAAGTTCCCAACGTCCAGCAGTGCTTCTAACGCTCTTCTTCTGATCCACTCCCCCGCCAGGGTGTAGAAATAGTAACAGGCAACGCGAAAGGTGGGAATTACTTCCGGATCCACATCAACAGGTATAAGATGGTGGAGACCATCACGTGCCTCTCGAAAGTGCCCTTCCCTGCCGCCAACTACATCCGCCTGTTTGGCCAGCACGAGCAAGCCCTCAACAACCTGTGCGCTCGGTACGAGGAAGGGCTGGTCCCCGACCTCTACAGGTAAGCAGACGCCGCGCGATAGAGGGGAGAGGCAGGCACGGAGGATGCTCGTGAGTGAGGGTGTGCGGGCGGCGCACCAGATCCCGGGGAGAAGCCAGGGTGCCAGAGATTTTGTTCTAAGGAGCGAAGGCTGTGAGACCACCGGCCCCGGCCCCGGTTCCGGGGCGTCCTCACCCGGCCCCACAAGCAGCTGGTCCTGGTGGGAATTCCGCACCCACGGACTGGCTGGCTGTGACCGCAGCCTCCTTCCTCGCGCTTCCCTCCGCTCAAGCAGAGGGGGCAACCGTTCGCCTAAAAAAAAAAAGATTGTGAAGGGAATTCTGCTTTGGCAGTTTGATCAGACTGGGTGATCTAGGTCCCGGCTTTTTCCAGTTTGAAGACGCTCTTTCTTCCCGTACCTCTAGGAAGCCTAGAACTTGAGAGTAGAAAGCCACTTCTGATACCGTCTGCTGCTTAGAAAGGCTACGAGAATTTCCCTTTGTCCACAAGACAAGATGGTGGCAGCCAGGAAGCAGACGTAGGTGTAGGTGTCTTAGAATTCCAGGGTCTTCGGTCCACATGGGGGAGGCTGCCGGGGTCAGAAGCAATCTCTCTTCCCTCTTAAAAATGGTTTTAAATTGTAGAATACATCATATAAACAGAAAAGCACATGAAGCGTGTATGTGCCCTGTGAAGGATAAAGGCGCTGGAAACTGGTGCGCCTGACACCTGCCGTAAGGAGGAACTCCTTACATAGAGCCCACCCCCTCCTTGGAGGAAACCACTGTCCTGCAGTTTGGGTTAATCGTTCCCTTTCTTCCCCGCAAAGCAGAGATGAGCAAACTTTGTGTGTAAAGGGCCAGGTGGTGACCATTTCCAGCTCGGTGGGCTGCAGGTTGTCGGTCGCAAGCCCTCAGCTCTGCCGCTGGGCTGTGAAAGACACGATACGTAACCGACGGGCAGCCGTGGCCGCGTCCCAGGAACTCTGTGCTGAGGCGGGCAGCGGCCGAGCCTGGTTTTAAAGATGCGCCACGTACACATGGCTTCCCAAGTGATACCGTCACTCGTTTTGCCTACTTCCGGGCCGATTCTGCGGCAGCTGGAGGAAGTCGGCATTCCGTTCGGGGCTCTGTCTGTGAGCCTGTCGACCGCGGCGTGTGCGGCTGGAGTCCATGTGTTTTCCATGCCGTGTGATGCTCCTGCATGTACGTGATGTCGCAGTTCATCGTCCATTTCCCCGTTGACTGATGTTAAGTTGTTCCGGTCTGGTGCCATGACAAGCAGCGTCATGGGCATTGTGGGCACAGCTCACGTGCGGGGATCCCTCTCGGGTGTACCAGGCGATGCCGAAGTGTTTCCCGAGGCCGTGGTGCCTGTGACAGCCACTGCAGCCGTCCGTGAGAGTCCTCCGCGGCCTGCCGGTCCTCAGCGCTGCTGGGCTTTCGCAGCTGGCCGTGCTGGTGGTTGGGAAGGTGCCCGCCCCTGGCTGTGAGTGTCCCTCCCCTGATGTCTGACGCAGCTCGGTGCCTTCTTACTTGTTCGTGGGCCGTTCGTGGTGGGTCCGGGGGAAATGCCTGCCTGTGACGTCTGTCCGTTCGGGGAGGGGTTGTGTCCTCTCCTCGGCTCACAGGGACTGTGTGTGCTCCGGGCACACGCTCGGCCGGCGGCACGGCCCTCAGAGGTCCCCTCCTCTTTGGGGGCTTACCTTTCCACTTTCCCTACAGCGTAAACTAACAGCTGTCCTTAATCTTAACGTGATCTTCTTCTCCTGGGTGTCGTGGGCATCGCTGACCCTTCACTCTTCCAGTAGCAAACTTGTGAAGCTCTGTGGGCAGCCCCACTGGATTTCACGGAAATGCACCAACCCTTCTGTCAGTTAGGTGACAATGCGGGCTTAGGGGTGTCAGTCCTCCTCGAAGGTGAAAATCTGAGTGTAACTTACAGCCTGCCTTCTGTGACCAGCGTTCTGCCTCCTCATATTCAGCCGAGGGGTGGTCGCGTGGATCTGCACGGCTATAGGATTCACTATCAAAAAACATTTCCGTGGAAGTGGACGCAGGGTGTTCAGACTGGTATTGTTCAGGGGTCAGCTGTGTAGGTCGTGATTTATGTTAGTCTCTTTAATACCTTTCAGTAGAAGTTTATAACTTTCTCCATCGATGGCTTGCACAATTTTTGTTTGATACGATCCAAAGTGCTTTATATTTTTATTGCTGCTGTTCAGGATCATTTTCTCATTGGTTGCTGCTGTAGAGTGTATAGAAATGTACTAGCTTTTTGTACGGTTTTGTGTTCTGCACATTGCCACACTCCCTCGTTTATTCAAAGAATGCAGATCCTTTCAGATTTTCCACACAAAATATTGTATCATCTGCATATAATGACAGTTTTGTTTGTTTCTTTTCAATCTTTGTAACATCTTTCTTTTTCTTGTCTTACTGCGCTGGACAAGATTTGTGGTGAAACGTAGGCTAGAAGTAGTGAGGAATGGCACCGCAACCTCATTCCTAGTTTTGAAGGGAATGCGTTCAATGTTATGCGTGTGACATTTGCTGTATGTATTTTTGTAGACATCCTTTATCAGGGTAAGAAAATTTCTTTTGATTTCTGGCTTGCTAAGCATTTATAATCATGTGTGGATTTCTTTTTTCCCAAAAAAAGTACTTCTAAAATCTTTTCTGTATGGGGATATCTTTAATATCTTCCTATATGTTCCCATCGTAAACTATATTTTGATAAAGTATCAAATTCCTTAATCGTAGGCTTTCTCTCCTCTAATCTGTGTAGACTTGACTCCAATATTTATTCAAGTTAAAGAAAAATGAAAGTATTTAGAACGTGAATTCATTTGTTCCTCAGCTTGGGGATAGGGTTTTATTGTTGCTCTTAATCTTAACCCAAAATATTTGAGTTGGGGAGGAATCAGTTGTTAGTTAAAGAAACATTTTAGGGGAGCTCTATCTTAGCAGTCTTCTCTGAAAAGAAAATGTCTTCACATCTGACTGAATTCCAAAGCCATCAGCATTTTGTTTCTCCCTGAGAAGAGGTTGAAACAGACGGACTTTGTGAGCTTGAGACCACCGGTCGGGGCACAGCTGTTAATGGATGATAGTAATAATTTCACAAGTGAGTTTGACTTGCTGGGAGTGAATACTGGGGATGGCAAAATGGGACAACACTGGCTATTAGGACGCGCCAGGTGACGTCAGTAAGGAAGGGGCAGGGGACGGTGGCGGATCATGGAAGGGCCCGCTGATCGTGTTCTAGTTAGGTCTCAGGGCTCCGCCGTGCCACGCCAGTCCCTCCTGGGCGTGCATTAGTGTGGATGTGCAGCTGCGGCCACGTTCTTTGCAAGCACCACAAAGTACCGCCAGCCCCCAGCGCTGACCCTTGGCCCAGCCCTGCGTGCCATCTGTCAGACCGGCCGGCAGGGCTCTTTCCAACAGGCAGGGCAAATGGTCTAGCTGACTTTGGCCGAGACCTGATTCCCGATTGTTTCCCTGACCTGGGCAGCACTGGTGACATCTCTTGTTCAAACCTGGGCACGTTTCCATCCTTTGCATCTGGGGACCCCTTCCTGCAGGCTGACTGTTAACCAGCTGCTCTGCCTCCTGCAAGACAGACTCGACCTCAAGGTCAAGTTCCTCTGCGGGTTCAACGAAACTCTCTGGATCCTTTCCATCCACCTCCCTAGATCTGTTCTCACCGCATCGAGGAGGCGCTGGTGATACCAGTGGGAACAGTGGCAGCCAAGGCAGGTGCTGTAGCGGCCAAGGACTCACTGGGGGTGGCACTGGCTGCCTGCGGACGGGCTCGCTTGGAGCCATTTGGGGACACATGGTGGTGGCTGAGCCATCAGCCACCGTGATGCCCAGGCCAACAACAGCTGTCACAGGACAGCAGTGCTGCCGAGGGTCTGGATCACAGGCTGGCTGGGTCCTACCTCTGCTTTATCCTCTGCTTTATCCTTTGTCTTTACCTTGGCACGCGGCATGCGCTGCGGGCGATGACGAGGGCAGATTCACCACTGGTGGCACTGTGTGTGTGCCTGTGAGTGTGTGTGCCTCTGCGTGTGAGTGTACCTGTCAATGTGTGTGAAGGAGAGAGAGAAAGAAATTGATGAGTTAACTGGTTTATCACTTTGGAAATGGACAGAGTCCATTTCATGGTTTGTTCCTTTCTGAACCCACCAGCATTTAAAGCCACAGCACAAATGTGTTGTTGGCAAATGGACTTCTCACCAGTCCTCCCCTCGGAGTGTCCCCGCACCCCTACACGCACCTGTCAGAGACCACGCATCCCTGCCCACCTTCCCAGCACCTGCTGGCGCTGCTTCTCCCTCAGACACGGGCGGAGTGCAGGGAAGCCGGAACACGGGAACTGTGGATGGAGAGGAGGGGGAGGCCAAGGCGGGTTCCAGCAAAGTCCCCGTCTCCTGGCCTTAACATCCCTGCCTTCTTAACTCCACGTCACCCTCATTTACCTCACTTAGCGGTGGCCCTGCAAAGAAAAGCTCTTGCCCACTGAATCCTTCCCGCCTCAGCCTTAATTAACAGGCTGTAGCTTCCTTTATCGTCATGGTGTGAATAGGTCTTGCCCTAGCGTCTTTGTGTGAGCCCATCAGATACTCATAAACCTTGATTAAATCACCTCTTTTCACATCTTAACAAGCTCCGCTCTCAAAGGCTGCCCTCGCCTGGCCCTCCCCCACTGCACACACTGCCCTCCCCCCGCCACGTCCCGGGCGCGGCAGCGGCCCCTTCCCTGTGGGTAAGTGCCCCTACACACGGTGTCCTGAATGGGGTTGGAGCAGGCCCTTCAGAAGCTCAGGGCTCAGGAGGTACCCCCCCCGGGACGGCCGCGGCGCGGAGGAGGGCAGTGTGAGCCTCCCGCGCTGCTTCCCGGTTCGCTTTCCAGACTCACCTGGAATCGCTTAATCAGGACGTCAGTGGTTCTCTGCTCCTCTGTCGTCGGTGACCTTGTGCCGTGTGCAGTAGACAATCACACACTAAATTCGAGGC